CTCGATGGACTGCGAGAGTCTGGCCACCACTCGGGTCAGGGCTCTGTTCTCAGCCTGCAGTTGCTCGTTCATCTGCTTCAAGGTTTGAATCTGTTTTAGCTGGTGGAGGTTCTGCAGAGAGTGAGACATGGAGGGGACAGACAGACAGACAGACAAGACAGACCAGAGGAGAAAAAAGTAGGACAAAGAAACCACGTGACTTTCTGTTCTTGTTTTTAGTTCCCATGCAAGAAAGGAAATGAGAAAGGCAGGACTAATGAGAAATGATGCACGGAGAGGGCATGCAATGGAGAAAAGCACCAGGAGACGGGCAGCGGTGTCTGTGATTCTTGGCTGAGGTCTAAGTATGCTGAAGGTCGGCCATATGAACACAGCCACAAGGCTCTCAAAAGCACATCTGGATCATCTCTGAGGATGGCAGCCCACCATGTGGTTCAGGTCCTTCTCCACTAAGTTCACATGGTTGAGCCATAGCCCCAGGGACCCTCCTTCACTGTCATCTGGACTGGAGCTGAGGATTCAGGGTTCCTAAGGCCAGATGCTGCCCCATTACTCCACCCCATCCCTACTCACTCCCCTACTCCCATTTGTTTTATTTCTGGATTCTTGTTTATTTAAAAAAATAAAACAAAAGAGACAGGCTTGTTATTTAAGTACTTCTGGTATACGGTATGTATTCTTTAAAAGAGTGAAATGACACATACCAAAATAGTAACTGCACAGAGACTGGACAGTTTTCTAAGCTGCTTTCTTAGGAAGCTTCATTAACCCTGCCAGTTCTCCTCTGCAATCGAGAAGGCTAGTCCAGGATTCTGAAACTGCTAGCCCTCTTCTGATCTGCTATATATGATTATATGCACTACTAGGTTCAAAGTTAACCGTGCTATGTCCTTGTTCATGTTGTGGTATTTACAAGGGACTCATGAATGTCTTAGCAATAATGCAGCTGGTAGGACCATGAGCTAATATGCCAATCCACCCCACAGGTAGTTTTCCTAATACTATATATTCCATAAGGGACTTCAAATCTTTAATAAATGAGATTCTATCACAGTCTGCCTACTCTGCTAATGTCTTTCCTAAGTGATCATCTACACTGACCCTGACACTGAGACCATCAGCTCCTTGGGAGAAGGGAAATGCTCTTTGGAAGAAGGTTATACAGATGGGATTTTGTCAATGAGGATGGACCATCCTGTGGGTTAGAATGGTGATGAAAAGGTCACCAATCATCAGAGAAAAGTCTCTTATACAGTAAGCAGGGTGGAAATGAAAGATTAGTGGAGTAACAGTTTCGGAATGGAGCAGCGGGAAAATGAATGGCAGCATAAGAGGAAAATGAGTGAAATGGAAAAACAAGCAGAGACAAAGTGAATAGCTTTTTCCCCAAAGGGGTGGAATGACCACCCTGGAAAAAAGGTAGGGCAGCCAAACACTTCCATGTAGCCATTGGAAGGTAGGGACTGGGCAATCCTCTATGCCTACTGTAAGCATTGTGGCCATGAATGGAGTGGGAGAAGATCATGGTGCAGCACATGGAAAAGTTTAAAGAGGGGCAGGTACCAAATTTAAGAGCCAACTGAAAGGCCCTGGCTTTCACCTTCATTGGTGCTGACACTTTAACCAAAGCTTTCAACACAATCACTGTTGTCATACAGTGCGGTCTTTGCCCCCCAGGGAATACTAAAGACATGAACTATGAAAGTGACTCACTCTAACATGTGAGTCCAAGTAGACTGAGGTGGAAGAATTTGGAAATTATCAGCATGAAGGAGAGAGTCAGGAAACAATTTGGTGGACTATTCTCTAGGAAGCAGTTTGAAAACAAGGCAGGGCAAGAAGATGGGGAGGACAGCAGGGCACACAGTAGGGTTGGGAGGGCAGAGCTTAGGGGCAAGAATGGAGTGATATTTCCAGAGTAAGCAAAGTAAAACTCCCAGGAACAATTTAAAAGGGAGTTGGCTGCTGGGCCTCTCTCATGCAAGGCCCTTGGAAAGGAAGGAGAGAAGGTCTGGTAAGGAGGCTGGTGCTGAATGGAGGACACAGCAGAAAAATAATCAGGTCAGATGACAGTACATCCCAAGGCCAAGTGCAGGCTGAGCACAGCTCACACCGACATGCACGCCTGTCAGAAGCTGGTATGTACCCCCATTCCAACCCAGGCCTGGGTGGAATTTCTGTGGGGCAGGAAACTTAGAAATACTCACCTTTTCAAGTAAAGGCCAGAAAGGCACAACCCATCTCACATCCACAGAGGCCCACATACATCCAGGGAGCCTATCTCATGGTTCCCTATTTCACCCCACCTTTGTATTTTATTTGCCAGAGTCAAAAAAACAGACTCTGCATTATTTTTGTCCTTGAACACCTAGAGGATCTTTAATGGTTCACAGGAAATCAAACACCCAAACTGTGGAGTCCCTGTTGATTGCTCCAGGGAGATGTGTGCACCTGTATATCCGAAGATGCAAAGCACAGAGACCAGCAGTCCCAGGCTGTGCTGGGTGAGACTCAGGAGGGCATTACCTGCATTGCTGGCCGAGATTCTGGTCACTAACCCTCTAGTAAGGGTGCTCACCATAAACGATAATCCAGATGAAGAGCTTGAGACCTAAACAAACATTTCCTTACTCTTTTAGGGCCAGTTATACCAATTTGAGAGTATTTTATCTAAATCTGAAGTTTGTGTTGGGCACAAACAAACATAACACAGAGTGACCCAGAGGCTCTGGTGCTCCTCCCTCAGTCCTGTAGGAGGAGCTGGATGGTCTGCAAACCAGCCATTTGGCTCCAATTTGAGCAAACCGTGTTTAAAGGCTTTCCAGCCTGCAGGCATTTCTTCTCTGTTTAGTAATGGAGAAAAACAGCAACTGACTGAATGGGTGGAAATTTTACCTTTTAAAAAAGTGCAAAACAGCTTATCTACTGGTTTAGGGAGAAACAGTCATAATCTGGCTCTAATTCATAATTTCACCAATTGATTTTAAAATTGCTTGTAAATGGCTTCTCACTGCAGAGAGCAAACACTTCCCTATATTATAATCCTTATTGAGAACAGAAAAGAACTTATGGCCTAGTTTAAGAAATCATATCCGACAGGTTACGAAGAGAAACAGGTAAGCCTGTCTCAATCCAAAGTTGATGGTGACTAGAACAGGGAAGGGCTTCCATACTTGCCATTTGGAATGAGAACAGAAATAAAAGACTTTAAGCTCTTTATTCAAGCTCTGTCACTTTCTAGGGGTGTGTGTGTGTGTGTGTGTGTGTGTGTGTGTGTGTTGCAGGTGGTCTGTAGGGTGTGCACAGAGTTCCATGACTGGTGGGCACAGGCTGGCTTTGGGCTCTTGGGTACTCACTGGAGCACCAGCTGTAGCCTCATTCATGTGCTGTAGATCAGCATTCAGGTCGTTTCTAATGAGCATTACTGACAGCTGCCTAACAGCAGAGAACAGATGGTATAACTCAGGGGATACCAAAGATGGAAGAGACCCCACGCAACTGGGAGCTGTGGATGTGCGTCACTGAGAACTGCTTGGAAATACTAACATGCTGCCTTAAGAGAAGAGAAAGCTTCTGGATGGTGAGGTGGATTTGGAAGAATCAGAAGATGGAGAAGTTTAATGGCACTAGGGTACTGCCCTGAATCAACACAGAAGATTTAAAGTGTTTCAGACAAAAGCAGATTTGCTGGGAATTCTAATGAATATTATCAGTTATAACCTTGGGGTGGTGAGTAGGAAATGCAGGATTAGGGCTTGGGATTTCTCCTTCACTTTGGAATTATAAAGAGTAACAGGATTATGAGCACAGGGTCTTGTGAAAACTCTGGCCTTGTCGGGTCCTAAAAAGCTTTTTTGGGGGGTGGGTGGGTACCCAGGGATCAAACTTCAGATCTTGTGCTTGCAAGGCAGATGGCAGAACTACTAAGCTAAAACCCCAGCCCGTAAAAATATTTTTTTCAGTAAATAACCAAACTTCTTAGGCCACTATTACAATAAATATATCTCCTAAAAAGTGTCCCAATTACACATTAGGAAGGTTTGCTCCCAAAAGGAGACTTGGGATTAGCCTGATACTGCCTGAGAGCTTCTGCTTTCTAGCTGAAGAATTTGTATCTCACCAGGTAAATGCTTCCCATCATATATCCAATAAATTACAATCCTGAAAAAAAGCTCAGCAAGTGCTAAATGACTGTGGCCATGTGGCACCAGCCACTGCAGAGATCAGATGCTCCTAAATCATACGCGGGTGGCTCTGCACTCCCTGATGCTCTCTATGTAGCCCTTCCTTGGGAAGACTGCCAGGTCTTAGCATTCAAAACTGCGAAGAATGGCAAGTGGCAGTTGTCTGTTAAAGTGGCTAAAGAAGGTGACGTCGGTGTAGGTCATGATGAGTGGGGAGAGGAAAGCAGTAAGTCTGTAAGCGAATCTGGGAGCATGAGCTTGTTCTAGTGGGACTGCCATGCACACTGGAAACCTGCTGGAGAAATGGACTGGGGCAGGAAATCAATATGTGAATAAATTTTCATTCTGTTGCAGAATGACTCAATCTCTGCTCCTTCTTGCAAAGGGCTGGGTTAGGGAGGGGAAATGGGAAGAAAGCCTTTGCCACGCTTAGGCTTCACAGAGCAAGCACCTAACAGCGGCTCTGCAGAGCTGGAAAACATGTCCTAGCCTTTTCATCAAGCCTCTGAAGGGTGCAGTTCTTACCTAGAAACCCTTAAAAGTTCAACATGGGTTTGTCTGCAGTGTGCCCAGTTCCCCCTTGAACCAAAGGCGGCATTTGCTCGCAGGAGGCCTGCGAGGTGGCCACAGTGGATGTGTGGGCTAACAGACCCCCAGAAAGTGGCTGAGGAAAGATGCTCATCTCTTCACAGGCACCTCTTCTTGAGCTTGTTGAGTTTGTAGTGCAATTCAGAGGGGACATCCTATACTCAAGGATCCAGTCTTGGCAGGCATTCAGAGAGCAGGCATACAAAGAGAGAAAAAATCTCTTCATACCTTCATCTCTTCCTCCATTTCCGACATTTTCCGTTCCAAGGCTCGCCTCTCCTGTTTAGAAACAATGAGCCTATTGAACATGTAATAGATTTAATGCAGTCACAATGCTGCCTCCTAGCCGCCAATGATCGGCAGCTTCATGGTCAAAGGCTCTCTCTACTGACTCCAGCAAACCTCCCTCAGATGTGGGCAGTCTCCAACCCTAACCCTGTGGAGTGGAGCTACTTCCCCGATGAAAATCACAGGGCCCGAGTCTCCCATGCTGAGAGAGATATGAGAGAGAAATGAGGAGACATACCAAGGGAGGCAACTTGCTAACAGGCAAACAGACCAGGCACTCTGGGTTACTCTTTGTAAGTTAAAGATTTCATGGAATTTCAAATGACTCCAAGTGACCAGGACCTTTGTTCTTTATTAACAAAAACCCATTATTACCTTTAGTAGTACTCTCCCAAAATTCCTAGGGAACTGATTCTCTCATGATGGGGAGCAGATGGTGAGTAGGGATGTAGACATCATTGTCTACAAACAGCACCCCTCTCTGGGTATCTCCATTTCCCATCCATTTCTCTCTCTGAGCAACTAACTCTGAATTTAGCCTGAACCCAGTGAGAGTCTTGGACCAGAAGAGCTATCAAGGAGGTTTGGTTACAGGCCAAGGGAATGAAATATAAAACCCAGCTGCTTTCCAAATTAAACAGACAATAACAGGAGAGATGGGAATATACTACACCCCTAGGGTCAAATCAAAGCTAGGGTTCATCAATAAATCTAATTAAGTTTTCCCAATCCAAGAATGTTAAATCTCAGAAAAATATGCTAAGTGTGGTTGGGAGGAGGTCAGCAATCGAACCCAAAATCCTCCCCTCAGGGAGAGAGTGGGCAAAAGACCCTTATGACTCATGTCTCAAGTCACAAGACCTAAATCAATGGCAGAAAGTCCTGGTGAAAGCTTCCCTTCTGTTCCAGGAGATAGGAAAGGCCAAGAGCCCTTGGACACACATGTGCCGTGTGTGTGTGTGTGTGTGTGTGTGTGTGACAGAGACATGATTTATAGTAAACCAAAATGCATCATGGCCATGCGCACATAAGCAGTTCTGCCCAGAGGCAGAGCCATGTATGAGATGACCTCCCAAGGACCCTTCCCACCCTGACTGGACTATGTACAAAGTACTGACTATCTGAGAAAGCCGAAAGACAAGCAGTCAAATTACTGTCAAGAGTCAGACAAAAAGAATTTATCATCAAGCTGGGAATGGAATGTGGCAGAACTGCTGCCTTCTTAAGATAAAGTTTTTCCATTGGCATGAAAAACAAAGTTAGAGAACGTCTGAAATAAGGGATCAAACAGGAGAAAAACATGCACGCACCCGTTTCTCTATCTCCAGCACTGATGAGCGATCAGAGGTCTTCTCCTGTTTTTGCTGTGCAAATGGAAGGAAAACACTTGTTACTTGAGCTATTTCAGGTCTAAGAGAAAGTTCAGTCCTGTTCACTTTCACCACTGGGCATCCGGAAATAGAGAGCAGGGCTTTGAGTGTTTACTTTAGCAGGGATCCCAGCAAAAAGATTCTGATAGGTCATTAAGCCTGAAATTATTCTCTCTCTCAAGCTTGCGTGATTCCCATGGGGGAGGGCAAGGCAGCAGTAGTATTCACTGCAATCTGAAATACGCACGAATACAAAGACACTACTCACAGCACACACACACCTGACACATACCATCTCTGTCTCTGTCTCTCTTGGTCTTCAATGCCAATACCTCACACTACAACATCCTCTCCCCTCTTTTTCTCTATAAGTGATATCAGAGAGTAAAAATCAGAGAAGACAAGAAATAGAGTGAGATTCCTGAATCTGAAGGCCTAAGCAGTCTTCTAAACAATCCTTTCTCCCCTATTCCTTACCTGCTGGGTATTAAAACCATTTCCTTTCACAGCAGTGGTCTTCACATGTGGGAAGGCTTCTTGTGAGCCCCATCATGGCACTGCCCTGCTTTGAATGAACGGTTTTGTTTTTACCTGCTTTATACACTAGGCTTTCAGTTAAGGAAAGATTTTATTTGAATATGAGATTTGGAATGTATACTTTACGTCACTTTTGACTTAAAAAAAATTGAACTCAGGGGTGTATCTCTAGCCCTTTTTATTTTTGGAGATGGGGTCATGCTAAGCTGCCAGGCTGGTCTTGAACTTGTTGGTCTTGAACTTGAACTTGCTTACCCCATTGGCTGGGATTACAGGCAAGTATCATCTGGCTCACTTCTGACTTTTCAGAAGAGCTAAAAGAAATGTGACCACTGTATCTAAAAAGCAGGCCAACTTCAGGTATCAATCCTGCTTTAAATAGGGGAATAGAAAGGAACCCTAAGTAATTTGTGCTCTTGGCATTATAGAACTGGGCGATTTGAGAGACATTTAATAAAGGATTTTAATTCTGCCTAGTATTACCCCAAAAAACATTTGATAAATACAAAAATCATGCTGGTCTTCTTGCAGAGTTTGTTTTTCAAAAAATTAAGGAATAGCCCAAACTAACAATAAAACTTCCTGTCCTGGGCTTTCACCTCCTGTTTTGAAGGTTATGGCTGTCTGCCTTTACACTGCAACCAGGTTGAAGCAGAATTAAAAGAAAAATACATCAGTATATCCTGTAGTTGGTTTATATTGTTGTCTCTCTTTCCTAAGCCTGAGAAACGATAGAAACTGTGATAATTTCACTACCTTCAAAGTTCATGTATACAAACAACTAGTTTTAGTATTTGTCTTTTAATTTTTTTTTTCTTCCAGAACCGGGGATCAAACTTAGGACCTTGAGCTTGTCAGGCAGGTACAGCACCACTGTGCAACATCCCGAGCCCATTTTGTTTTAAGTTTTAACCCCTGTACAGTTTGTAATGTAAAAACACTGTTAGTGGCCATGTGGTGACTGTCTCAATTCAAATGTGTGAAGCTGATAGGCCCTCCCCACTGCCCTACCAAACAATTCCATTTTTGGAAAACAAGAGACTTGGTTTGTAGAGCCAGTTTTTTCTGAATTTCAATAACTCACATTTGGCAAATTCTAATTCCATTCTGACACACCCAGCAAAGCACTTGGCTGGAGGGTAAATGCTGCTCCCCTCCAGCATCCGGGAAAAGCAGATTTTGTTATTAATGCCCTCTGTTAGGCTGCTTGATGCTGTGAAGCACAGGCTGCCAGAAAGACCAAGAACCCTGGAAGGTCAAGAAATAAACTGTCAGAGCTTCTGGTGAGGAGGGTAGGGAGCAGGCGAAACTGGGTTCTTCTGCTCCTTAAATTCTGTAAAAGAGCCCCAAATTAACAGATGAGACTCAGTATAATATCAGTATTCATTGACTTTGCCAATACGTGGCACTACTAAAAATGAAAATCAGCCCCAGATACCTTCTGAGGATCTGCTGTAGTAAATAAGCCATACTGCTGGCTCAGTGCACTAAGGCTTATCTATTTAGTCCTTTCCCTGCCTTATGGCAAGGTTATTAACTGTGTATGTCTGTATTTTTTTCTTTCACATTTAGAGACCTACTTTTCTTCTAATCACTGTAAGCCCAGATATTATCTCTCTGTTGCATGGCCAGTAAGAGCCATGCTTGGCTATGAGGCCTCTCCAGGCAGCAGAGAGAGCTCTCAGGACAGGCCATCCAATCTGAGTAGAGCTGGATCCTCCTCTGGAAAGTGTGGGTGTCCTGGCTATCTTGCTGGGCTCCCATACAGTTCTGTGGCACCAGCTTCCCCGCCTTGGCACTTTGTTCATCCCGTGCCATAGCGGCTGCACCAAGACGTCTAGAGAGAATTCAACATCCTGTGTCCCCACCAAATCCCATTGTACTAAGACTACGTAAGCCAACATTTTAGTCTTTGCTTTTGGATATCATATTATCAGATTAACCAGCTACCTCTGCTTTTCATTTCTGTCTTCCTCATAGAATCTTTTTTACCTTAGTTCAACTTGTTCAACTTTTGAAACTCTTAGTCCCCAGGCATTCCAGCAAGGCAATAACTCAATAGGTTTCCCGTTAACACTGTAATAACCTAAGACAGCAGCTGCTTTAGCTTTCAGCTGCAGGGTATGTTTCTCTGGTGATGAGGTCACTACCTCCAGCACCCTCTAAAGAATCACCTAATTAAATGAGGCCTGGCAGCGAGAGAACACTTTGTCTTGTCTTTCTGCCACTAACTCCTTGCCCAGGCTGAAGGAGTTGATGGCCTGGGAAGACGACATTTGCTCCAGGGTAGAATCTTTGCTTCAGAACCTGATTCTGGGTTCCAGCACCACCTCTGTCCCAGTGTGTTATGGGCCTAATTTGCTATCTCTCTGTACCTGGCTATAGTGTTCTGCTTATCCCTTGGAGAGGTGATGTGCAGGTGACTGGAAGTGAAGTGAGAAGAACTAGGACAAATGAGGACTGCCTCTGTCACGCTGTTTATACTGAATACTGACAAACACGCAGACCATATTAGCATTCAGACCATCGGGAAGTGTTTTTTGAACTACCAGTCCTCAACTTTAACACTGACTAATGTGAAAATCAAATTAGAATCTGAGAAGCTTCCCTCTTTCTGCCTCTGAGGAAGTCTGATTTTGACTCTTATCTCGAATCCTATCCCTGAGACCCCTGTCCAATTTGCCTCCTTCCACAACCTCACCCCCAGCTGCATTGTTTTTCCTCCTTCTTACCTGGGCCATCTTTTCAAGCTTGGATTTTACATCTGCTAGCTCTAGCTGGGCCTCCTGAAGCTTTGATTTCAACTTTTGGTTTTCAGTCAGGGCACTTTCATACAGCTGAGAAGGGGAAAGCAGAGTCAGGTCACGAGCAGGGCTCCCTGAATTAGCACCCACACAATTTCACTACATGAAGAGGCCTGGGCCTCTCTGCCTCAAGCCGCAATTGTATGCTAGGTGGAGAAGACAAGTCTGGAACAGGGCACATTCAACCTTTGCTCTCTGGCTTCTCGAAGGTGATGATCCCAGGTGCTGCTCTTCCAACTTCTAAAACATTAATCTCTGGGAGGAAAAAAAGTCACCCATTTTCTTCTATGGAACATTTGCCCCTCACACAAAACAGAGTTTTTTTTTGGCGGGGGGAACCAGCCTAGAGTGTGCATATTGTTTTTCATCAAGTTCTGCTTAACCAAAACATCAACAAAGAAAAACATTTCCTTTACCAAAGATGCCCTCCACCACCACATCCCAAGCACCTAAAAGGGAATGTTTTCAAGGATTTAAGTGTAAGAACCAAAGGAAATGGATGAAAAGTGATTTAGATTTCTCTAAGTCCCGATGATAATGATGGAAAAAAGTTTTAAGTTGATACTCTTATTTAAATCACATGCTCATTACAAATTACAGTGTACCAAATGATTCTCAAGGGTTCAGACAGACAGCAATATCAATTTTATTGTCCTTAACAATTCTTTTTTCTTTTTGTTTTTTGTACTGGGGATCCAACCCAGGACCTTGCCCTTAAAGCAGGCAGTGGAACCACTGAGCTAAATTCCTGGCTCCTTACAATTCTTAACTTCTTACTTTCCCCTATTCCTTTAAATATCGAATTGTAGGCATATACTTATTCTAATAAAAGCACCATGCAAAGGGGTCTACTCAGCTGGTGGAAAGGTGAAGAAAACCAAGATGTCCATGGTGAATTCAATGCTACTCAAATGCCTCTTTTTCCCGCTTACTCTGAACTATGCTCATTTTCCATACTGGGGAGAAGGCTGAGAGGTTTACTTATCGTAACCCAAGGACAGGAAAACTGAAAAAACATCCTACTTTTTTATAATCCTTGTTGCTGTCTTCTTCCACACGGCTGGTCAGGCTGGCTAGACGAGCCTCCCGGGCCTCCCGCCGGGCCCTTGCTGAGGGCCGGTCACTGTAAGAATCGCTGGTTGCAGGGATACTACCTCCTGATTCCAACCTGTGAGACAGAATGTCAACAGTAAAGTTGGTTTTGAGAACAAATTAGTGGGGAGAAATAAAACTTAAGGGTAGTATGTGCTTTTCTAAGAAGCACTCGACAGCCCTGGCCAGAAACAAACACAACATTCCTTCTCTGACTCTCGGCCAGCACTCCCAGAGTTCATGGCTGCCTTGCACATGCCTGGAGCTTGGGGAGGGAGGCCGTCATTTGCCAAGAATGGAACTTATTTGAAAAATGGGTGGTTTAGATTCACATGCTGATTTAAATCTTAGAGCTTTTCAAATTAGTGTAGGAATTGAACAGCTACCCTAAAGAGTGTGCTTTTAAAAGCAAAACCCTGGATCTCAGTGACTCTTGAAAAATGATTACGATGAGCTGTCAATGAATCAGAAACAGATGGGCTCGGAAACTGAACTGGAGACTGATGGGGGAGGAAAGGCAACGGGGCACGGTACCTGTGCTTGGCCAGTGCACTAGTGGTGTGCTGGAATCCCAACACTCCAGCGCCTCACCCCGCAGTGCCTCAGCAGCTGATTTTCTCCCTCTTCTCTGAGTTCCATATTAACCTTGTGCCTGTGACTGGACGTCTACATCTAGAAATGGGCTCGGAGTTGGTGGTAATTTCATTTCTAGTACTGCTAAGTTCATTTGGGAACCACTCAATCTCTTGGCTGACTGTTTAAAGTGTACAACCATCACCCCAATCCTTAACCCTGGTTTATATTTTCCTGGACGTTGCTCTTCAGAAACTAGAACAAGGCCCATGAGAAAGTGATGTGTACAAACCAACCAAACCGGATGGTGTGCAGCCGGAGCTCACAGCTGCTATTTTCTGTGGTAGCTGCTGCCAAAGCCAGGGTGGGTGGGAGCTGAAATAAGTATTAGAAGAAGCAGGACAGCAACAAGGGGTGAGGGAGGAGAGGAGAGGAGAGGAAATGAGCTCCTAAGGACACCAATGGCTACTTTTCTCTTATAGAGATGCTGAGTCCCATATTTTTCCTAACACATTTTCTTTTTGATTGATAGGAATCTTTGTATTGACTTCTCTGGTTTGAAAGGTAATACACTAAGCGATACCCAAGTGTCTACTCCATAATCCTGCCCAAGAAATAAATAATAACAACAGTTTAGATCATATCCTTGCAGGGTATAAAACAGAAAAATGTTAAAATACGTTTCTGTAACATAAAATCAGATAACACGTCCCACTCTTTTTCCTCCCTATACTTACCACTATGATTACGCACATCTTACCATCTAAGGAAAAATAAGTTTGTCTCATTAAAAAAAAACTGGGCCGGGGATTTAGCTCAGTGGTTCGGTGGCCTGCCTTGCAAGTACAAGGACCCGAGTTCAATCCCCGGTACCAAAAAAAAAAAAGTAACTGTAGGGCTGGGGATTTAGCTCAGTGCTGCAGC